TAACCTCCTAGGGCTCCGGGGTGGGCAAGATGGTTATCTCGTGCAAAAAGCTGAGATGAGATAAGACTTGAACGTTCAATCGGCTCACCCATCCCGGAGCTCCTTCCCTTCTATAATTAGGTTAAAAATACACAGTTATAACATAAAAAAGCTTTGAAACATTCCTATGACCCACTACCCCGGCTAGAGCGCACAGAAGTAAGAGCAGCCGACTTCTGTTGTTCATAGAGATGCTTTTTAACAAAGAGAGTATTTTTTTCTTAACCTCCTAGGGCTCCGGGGTGGGCAAGATGGTTATCTCGTGCAAAAAGCTGAGATGAGATAAGACTTGAACGTTCAATCGGCTCACCCATCCCGGAGCTCCTTCCCTTCTATAATTAGGTTAAAAATACACAGTTATAACATAAAAAAGCTTTGAAACATTCCTATGACCCACTACGCCCCCCTCCCCAGCTACATTTTCACCGCTGACTGCTACCGTGAGTGGAAATGCGATCCAGGTCTTCATTTATTAATGAAAAAGGGCGTCGCCGTAGCTTTCTTTGAACAAGGCCTGCTTCCACTTGAGGAAGCACTTCGAAGCAATCCCAAGGAGCGGAAATAACCCATACGTTTTTGTAGAAATTGAGTTGATTAAAAAAGAAACTACTGCAAAATGAACAGCGGAGCTCGAGATGCGAAGCAGCGCAGTACATCGCATTATTTATTTATGTATTTCGTGCACGCTTAGCGTACTTAAGCGTACACCAAGCAAATAAATAAATTATGTTATCAGTAGTTATAAGATTACCAGAATGCTTCCAGGTCCGGGTAGTTCAGTATATTACGAGTAAACGAAAGACGAATCGAAAAAATTTATAAGTTGAGTGCTAGCATGTTGGCATCACGATTTTCAGGAGTGCATATAGTGACGAAATTCCCGCTTTCGCAGTTTTAATCGACCCGATGGGATGATACGGCTAGACCGGATTAATGGGAATGCCTCTGATTGTGGCTCCGTCGCAAAATCCGATTGATTTTAAGCACGGTTCTAGAGTACTGACGTCAAAGGACATTTCATGTAAAAAGACGCGAGGTCTAAAAAGCTGTAAGCTTAAAAGCACAGTTAACGATTATAATGGTTTCTGAGATTCCCCCTCAGGATGAATTCGAGGCCCCCGCGTATATCCATCTGGAACTATTAAGGTCGGAGTATGGCTTAGTTAGGGAATTATAAACTCTCAAAGATTGTCTTGTGTGTACCCTCGGACGAGTTTCAACGTCATTGTAGAGGCTGCACCATTCACAAGGGAACCGATCAAGGGAGTTCAAACAACTTGTCATGACCCATAGCGTAAGTGAAAGACAGTTTTGTACAGTTCTGGCTTGATGTAGTGAGCTCTTTGTGTAATTGCAACAACTGGAATCTCGTCCGAATACCCCTTCCATGTTATTTTCCGTCATGACAATCTCGTTCAACATCAATTTGCCCTACTTCTAAGGAGCCATTTTGGCATAGGTGCATGCGAAAATCCGAGGTAAGGAACTGAACCGCACAACTGCAGATTCTCTGTTATCTCCAAATGGTGTGAAAGCTAACATTTGGCGAGAGGGAAAGAAAAGGGGGCGTTCTGTCGAAGGGAGATGCTAGAGCGCATGGCGCTGAGGCAGTCGTGGCAGGACCATTCCAGGTTGGACAGACAGGACAGGACAGGAAAGATTCCACTCTACTAACCACCATGGGCTTATGGTACAGAGCGAAAGGGTACCGAGGAAGTCTTTGAATCAGAAAGTGGTTTTTCATGATTAGACGTCACGAAACTTGGAAGAAAAGCACGATTTCCCGTAAATCACGTCAGCGGAATCGTGGAAAACAGTTTTTTTTT